GTGATCAAGAAAACTGGCTTTGTGGTTACATTACTTAAATATGAATTGTATCTCTGCCACTATAAGCTATGTGAGTTTGTTTCTTCATCTATTAAATGGTATAGTAATCTAACCCTAGAAGACTGCTATAATGATGTGATGATATAATATACTGTTGCAAGTATGATCTTCATATTTCTACTTAGGACATGCAGAAAACTAGAAGGCATGATACCCTTTAAACTGTACTAGGTATAAAACAGTATTAGGAGATTAAGTACTGAATTGTGCTCACAATAGTAGCCTAATTAGAGATGAATTCATGAGAAAACCAGAACTAAAAATAGCATTTGCTATACATGCCAGAAAAAATTTCGTATAACTTCATTTAACTGATGCTTCTTCATCCCCACAGTTACAAGATGCCATCTTAATTTTGTCCTGTCAATATAAAGAGGGCAAAGGAAGAGTTTTGAACAGCATAAACTGAGGCAACCTGTGACTTGTCAAAATGCAATACAACTCAGAATAATAAAGAACTTGAAAATGACAGCTGGCCAGACTGAGTGGTGAAGCAGTGAGTAAGGAAGGGGCTGACTTGACAAGGAAGGGCAGGAGGCAGGATTTAAGAAGAGAGTCAGCCCAAAGTTGGTTGTACTGAGTTGAATTCTGGGCCCAGGGAGTAGAATTAAGGTGGCCGTGCAGATAGGGTGACCCTTTTCTCTGTTGGATGATTTCTTCTTGGCAAGCTAAAAGTAAAGGATGAATACTGACATCATGATCCCCAAATATTAAATGATTTGCAATTTTTTTTTTTAAGAAGGGAAGATACATGTGTCTCATTTTTAAGATATCTTGACTAGTACAGATAATAACACCTAGCTATGAAATGTTATTATTAATAACAGAATGTATTTATTTTAGTGGAGAATCAGGACACAAATTTTCAGTAAAATTTTTGAAATTATAAAATAAAGGAAAAATGGCCAATGATAGGTACTGATGATGTACAAAAAGGATATAACTAAACAACTGGAAGATATAATGCTCTGAACTTCATGAATTATGCAGAAGGCAAAAACAATGTTGCTGAGATTATATACTATAGCTTTAAAATGTGGTTTAATGACCTGCATTATAAATTCAAATCTTAAATCTTTTGAGAAATAGAGGCTATAAAATATGTTGGAACATAATAATTGACCAATTAATCTCTGCCCACTGATCAGACATTGTGAATATTTGGTTTATGGTAGCATTTTGCTCAGCGGAAACGTTAAACAAATATATTCTTAAGAATAGTTTCATAGGTTGATAAAATTTGGATATAAAACCCAATAAATTGTGAAACAGTTTTGTCAAGGAAGGGCCAGGTAATGGCCTTGACGATGGGTTCGACGGCCCTAGGGAAGGAGAGCAGCATTTAAAGGTGTGTACTGTGTGTCAGTGCTCTGCAGAAACTTTCTCATTGAATGCTCGCGATCGTCTCGGAAATTTTTTCCTAGGTTATAGGAAATTTTTTCCAAATTTCCCAGAGTCACAAAGTTTCTAAATGGTAGAGTTGGAACTCAAACCTTGATCATTAGAGTCCAAAACTTGGGGGACAGGGGTGGGACTTTCCAGCACTCAAGGAGAGAGAAGCTGAAGGAAATGGGCAACCTACTGCCCTTTGTCATTTCAGATAATATGCTTATATTCTGTTCTTCTCTGGGTTGTCAACCATTATTTTAACTACCTAAGAAATTGCTGTTCAGCACAATTTCTTTGGCCACTATGCATGGTGATGTTCGGGAGACTCGCCTCCTGTAAGGACCAGGGTAGTTGCATTTCTACTGAGCAACTGTAATAAGAACAGTTACGAATCTATACCAGACATGACAGAGGTGAAAACATAAATCAGTAATACTACTAATAAAAATAATAAGAGTCAAGGACTATTATTAAGGAAAACTTGTTCTAAGTTTAGAACAAATGATCCTTGAATTATTTGTTCAATTTTCATGGGTTTCTGTTTCATTATCTATGAAATTCAAAATTGTCAGATGAGATAATTACTGAAGCTGTATTATTTTATTTTCCTTCGCAAATTTAAAAATATTAACGAACAACCCTGTGTGTCTGGCACTGTGCCAAGTATCACAGCTACACTGGTGAGGAAGAAAGCATTGCTGTCGGTCTCCATGGCAGTAATAGTCTCCAGAAAGAATTCTGGATTTGGAGTCAAAAGATTGGAGTTCTGTTTCTCTCTCTCTCTTTCTTTTTTTGATGGTTTAATCCCTCTGAATCTAGGTTTCTTCAACTGTAAGAATAGGGTTTGGGGAGAGTACCTGTGAGATAATATGTGGGAAGAACTTCGGGAGTGAAAGCGGTATGTTAAATTGATTGTTATGACACGCTATGAATGCACTAGGGTATATATGGGTTCCAGTGAGGAGGGAAAACACAATAAATAACTATGCCTGAAAAAAAGTAAGTATGCTGCCATTGCGGTATATCTAGAATAGATAGGGGTGATGAGCTTTCTGTAGGTAAACACTACGGGAGGTTTTTACAGGCTGAAGTAGAAGCATGGTGGTGGTGAATAAGGGGTATTAAACATCTGTATCGATTTATGAAGTGCTACTCCTAGGTGTCTGTCATATGACATTAGAATACTTCACTGCAAAATATGACTGCTCACATAGTTTAATTAAGGCCATTAATAGTCAAGGAATTAACCTAAAAAACAATGTTTTACCAGAAAACTTTTACCCCTAACCATGGAGCTATGGAGTGAAGAGGAATAAAGTACAGTCATTTTCATTTTTATTTATCTCTCAGTTAACAGGCATGGAGGGGGCTCAAGCAGTTTGTAGTTATTAGGCTGCACATCGCCGTTAAGCCTTGAGATACTTGCTCCGATGCCCTATCTTGCTCTTTGAGGAGCCAGTTTTGTCCACCGTTTTCTTATCTCGTCTGTAAAGCCCGTGTTCCATACATGCTGCTTCGCTTGCCTCCTCAGGGATTAGCTGAATCTCTCCCCTGACATCTCACCAGTGTCCATTTACCCCACTTGCTTTGAGATCACCAGTTCTATTTTCTGTTAGAAGTGGGGATGCAAAAGGTGCGGTGTTGAAAAGTTCTGATCCTGGACTCAGACAATCCAGGTTTTGATTCTGAGTTGAACTACTCACTAGCTTTGAGACCTCTGGCAAATCATTCAGACTCTCTGAGTTCAGTTTGCACGTATGCAAAATAGAGGAAAAACCAATACCTGCCTCCTAGGGCTGTTTGAGAGAAGAAGACAGTACACAGAAAGCACTTAGCCCAGCTCTGCACATAGTAAGCACTCAAAAAATCAAAACTGGTCTTGTCATAAAAAGCAATAAATATTCATTAAATAAATTTGATTTTTGTATTGCCATGTTTTTATTGCCATGGACTGTGTAAACAAACCAGGGAATTGAATTCATCATATTATTAAATTTTGCTTTGGTTAGTGGCTTTTGTAAAGTGCCAAGACAATGCTTAGTACATAGTAAACGCTATACGTTTTTGCTATAATATGTAAATAAATCTATTAAATATAATAAATAAGTCTAGAGTTAGTTACTTCTGAATGCTGAGGTGAGACAAGTAGAAGCTGCCTTTCATTTCACAGGTTCATAGAGCCCACCAGCACCCTCCTGACACAGGCCCGAGGCCTGGGTCCAAGAAGCAGAAGCCCCCAGTTGCTGCATTTGGTAACTCATTTAACCTCTTCATGAATCATCAATAAGATGAGTTTAATTGGGCAACTTCACCTTTCAGACTGAAGACTGGAACTGCATGGGACTAAGTCTTGAGTTCCTTTCCTGCTCTGAGAGGTAGATAAAATTTCTGGGTTTAAATATGTCATTAATGATGAGGGCTACTGTAAAATTCTGCTACCTGTAGCACTTTCAAGTCACATAGAGGAGTCATGTATGGTTTGACGGTTTATTGGTTCCACCAGTGACAATTTCTGTCTGGGAACCGCCAGCTCCCACTCTTGTTTCTGCGCTTCCAGTGTGGCTGTGAGCCAGTCAGAGCAGTCCTGACATGGGGACTGGTTCCGTCATGGGCATAAGGCCTTTTCAGAGACAAGAGCATGTCACGAGTCTACAGATGGCCACATGGAGTGAAGACGTTCAAACTTTTCCACTGGATCTGCACCTAGAACTCTGTGACCCTGAATCTAGTGAATCTGAGAGGTTTTGACTGCGAGAGGAGAGCTTCACTTGAAAAGGAGCCAACACAGGGAGAAAGAGAATCCACGACCTGATGACACTGTGTCTTTATCTGGATATGCCTGACTTGCTGATGCTAAACAAGGTAATACATCCCTTCCTTCTCTCTCACTCTTCCTTCCTTCCTTCATCTTTATCTCTCTTTCTTTTGCTTAAACCAGCATGGATTGGGTTTTCTGTTACATGAGACTGAATCTTAACAGATATAATTCATCTCATTTAAGAGTCTCAGCAACCCTGTACCATAGTCAGGGAAGGAAAGGAATTGAGACATTTCATCTATAATATTAAATTTTCATAACTCAAATTGGAACTAAGAAAGCAGCAGTCACCAAACTTTTTGGCACCAGGGACCGGTGCTCCTAT